AGTTTCGAAGGTATGCGTTCTTAAAAAAAAAAACAAAAAAAAAAAAAACACCGATCTCATATCAGATTTGTGAATGGAGAAGTGTGAAGTCAGGCGTGTCGTTACCAATTAAATGACTTCCATGTCTGTTGTGCTGCTAAAATGCAGTGATTTAATTGAGTGGTGTTATTTTGGGCTGGTCACAGCTTGGCTTAGGCAAAGGTTGGTTCTATCAAAAAAGTATCCATATGTCGGCAACTACTGAATAGAAGAATTTTAAATTTTCCATGCAAGTGGTCAGTTTTGCAGTGCGTAAAAAAAGCTATGCAGTGCTTTACAAATTTGTTAATCTGTGGCAGAATGGCGCGAAATAGACAGACATTACCAGACACTTTATAGCGCCAAATGGAACGGTCCGCAGAGTTTTATAGAGTAAAGCCCAGGCTAATGTACCCACACAGAGGTCACAACCAATCTATCGAAATCCTACCTCTAGGGTACATGACCCACTGTCTTTCGGGATACGCTGCTGCAACTAAACAAAACCACCCAGTCCGTTCAGAACGAGGGGTAAATTGACACAAAAATGCGTTTTTCAAGGCCCTTGGCGAACACCAAACTGGCTTTAGCAGGTTAGAATACCAGTCGACCTCCGTGGTACCCACTGTAAACAGCAAAACATCGTCGTCTGTTTCTCTAATGAACCATGGCCGTTTCTGGGTAGAACACTGAAACCGCGTGGCATTCTTTATTGAGGTCAGTTTTCACCTGTACCGCCCAACTAGTCAAAACAGAGTTTACAGACATCCAGAAGAGGCCTACGACGAAGCAGGTGCCGCGTCTAAAGTGACACGGGGCATTGGCAGCGTCAGTATTTGGCTTGGATACCACATTTTTGCCAAAACAGCAATGGTAGTCATCGACGAAAACCTGAACCAGATCAAATAAAAGAATTATCTGGGAACCACACATGAATACCATTTTATAGGGGGCACATTAGGAACAATTTTAGGTTGCACGGTGAGATTACCGGTTCACACAGGGCACTTTTAATAGCAGATAACCGCATACACAATATTTGGGTAGGCCATTACTCGCCGAATATACGACCAACATGTCCGACAACAAAACTGGGCCTAAATGGACAATTTTTGACCGATGCCTGGAATGTTATTCCAGATTGAACTTTAAAAACCTATCCCAAGGAATGCCTTGTCGCTTGAGAGCGCTGTTTACAGCCAGAAGAGACCATGCGTAACAGCGACCATTACTATGACTACACGCTGTCATGAGGGTCCTTTGTGGAGCGTGTTACTCTTTTACAGACCATAATTAGGATAATATGGAGATCCAAAATATTTATTTTAATGCATGTCGAATGACATAGAAAAGGCAATGTACATGTATTTGTGTTTGCTTCACTGTCGAATTCAGTCAATGAACTGATGTCAACATGACATCAAAGAGATAATTCAAAGTTATTAAAACACGATTTTAATCCTTATTTTCATTTATCAGCCAGAAAAATAGGAATAAACTGATGAAAAATGATTTGGAAAAAAAACATTCCATATTAAATGTCAAGTCTGTAAATCATGCAATCTGCACATTCTCCCTTTTCAGAGATAACTTGAAGGTAGCTTGCAGTATAATATGTATGTTTCTGCCGTCACTGCAGGGCAATTAAAAAAACTCGGATTCTGTCCACTGAACGAACAGCTAACCAAACAACAATGAATCACGAGTCAATCGCTTGCATTCCAGATGAATCTTTTGTGGCACTGCATAAAGAGACACCGTAGCCATATCCATAAGTTCCTCCTCCTCTCCGCTGCCATTACGTGCAGGTTCGTGCTCAGCGCTGTTCCCCATCGGTGTCGTGACTGTGTGACAGCCGGCATGGAATACAGCGCCTCCAGTAACACCACTGCTGAAACCTTGAAGGAGCGCATGAGGGTTTGTCTGAGTACGCCGTGGCAGACGACCTATGGACTGCTGATCCTAAGTAAGATGCCGCTTCTAGATTCGGTAGTAGTTGACTACCACCCTGATACCCCACTTTTCATTCCAAGGGCTTATCTCCATTCAAAAGTAAGCTTGTTTAATTTTATCAGTCGTTTTTTGTTTGTTGTTGTTGTGCAAAAATAAACACACACACACACACACACACACACACACACACACACACACATATGCGTACCACGAAAAATAAATTTAAACTGTGCACAAATTAGGATTAGGTTCTAGTTTTGATATGTTATGATCATTCTTACCACATCTAGGTTTTGGTAATCAATGTCAAGTTGTGATGAATAGCAGTCATATTCATTAAGAAAATTAAACTGCGAAATTATGATACCTCGATTCCGATGATATATAATCGGGTTGAAGAAACCTTTCCAATCTGTTGTAAAGCTAGTCGAACAGCCAAGGTAATCTCACTATTGACACTATTCATACAATATACAGTGTATGTACGTGTTCTTTTTAACAATTGCATATTAACTGTCGGTATATTTCATTCTCTTTTTAGATTGGATCTTGGCACTTTTTCTGCACTCATTTGACCGGCGAACTGAGCGACACAGCTTATCTTGACGGTATGGCTGAGATTTGTTTTTGTTTAAAGTTATAATAAAATTAATTCCATAATTAATTAGTTGATTTTTTTTACCAGGATGAATGACCAGTTTCGAATACTAGTACTGTTACTTCAGACCTTTTGGCCTGTGTCATTATGTCTATGTAATTAGGATTCCCCATAGGGGAATACTGTTGTTTTTGCTGTTCTTCTTCTTCTTCTTCTTCTACTTCTTCTTATTTTTCGTCAAAAAAATTATTTTTAAAATGCTGAAAAAATTCCTGCTGATAGCCTAAAAGTTATTCCGGATTACCCAATTTCATTGACCTTGACCTAATTTTCAAGGTCACAGAGCCTTTTAAAATGAAAACTTTGCAAATTTAAAAATGCAATATCTCCTAGAATTTTCAACATTTTGACAAATCCTTTCATATGTGAGTTTTCAAGGTCACAGGGGCATTTAACGACGAAATTTTTAAAATTTGAAATTGCAATTACGCCTTAAGTGTAAGCTATGTGGCTAAGGACCTTTTGGCAAATAATCCCCAAATATTGACCAACTTTCATACAAGTAGTTCGCTAATGGCCAAACTGCCATAAAACAGTTTTTTCCCATATCTCAAAAACCGCGAGGAAGTATAGTCTTATCTATAAAGTTAGCTGAACTTTCGTAGCGATTGCATGATACCTTTTTTAAATACAGATTTTAAAATATTTATGATGTTGCAGAAATCGTGACTTTGGCAATTTCTCCATGAAATACTGATTTTTTTAAAAAAAACATGCTATAGTAAACTATCCCAAACCTATACCCAACATCCCCAAATCAAATGTCAAATCTGACCTTGGCCTTCAATTTAGAGGTTATTTGGACATTTCAAGGTGACATATTCACTTGGGCTAAAACTAATGTATTGTTGACCCACCTCCCCTAATCCACATACGGTCTTTCAGAATACGGGATCAGATTTAGCACATGGCCTTTTAATTGACCTTTTTCTTCAAGGTCATTCCACCCCTAGTGTGCAGGGGAATCCTCCGCCACTGGCTTCAGGCAGTTACGGTCTAGTTATATTTAATACTGATTGCCCACAAATATGTACAGGTACACATGTACATATCTTTGTTATTGCATGTATAACGAGCCCGGTAATTATAAACCAATGTGTTTTTAAAAAAAAGGAGTAGGCGTGTGCTATAAACAATTGTAAACGTGCATATTTAGCGATTCTATGTGTATTTCCCCCGTCATAATGGATATCACCACGCGCTGCTCAATGTACACTTTGCACTTGTACCGGTACGAGTTTGTGGTGAAGCATACCCTGTACGTACATGTATAGTATAATTTAAGCGACACACACAACATGTAGTGTCAGTATCACTCCTCTATCACGCCTTTCGTTGGATGGTCGAAGATTGGCAGTGTTTTCTTAAGTTATGGCAGACTATAGTCGAACTCCTTAGCATGATATTTTGATGATTTTGGTGTTGTGAACGGTGCTTCTTTTCATTCGGCAGACATGCTAGATTCAGCACACATGGGGGAGGAGGAGACTATTCAAATTATCGTGGTTCGTCACTGTTTATAGCATGCCCACATAACCGTTATGTTTTCAGAGGGAACATGGAAATTACATTTTCACTCTCTGCAGATGCTGGCATTTTTATTAGATTAGTAATCAGATAATTTCTGGTGCTTTGACTGCTTGAAAATGGCCGATATGTCTCATTTTTTCAACTGGCGGCCATGCAGTGGGTACTTTTGAGACAATACCTTAACTGAAATAATAATTACCAAATACACTGTATGTCTATTCACGTATGATAATCCTGTGGCCTATTTTATAGCAAGATAAATCCACACTGGTCCCCTAAAATAAAGAAAGCATTTATTCAAAACATTATCCATGTCTTTCTTGCAATAAATGAATGATAAATATTGATCATTGTAAATAAATAATTATAAATAAAGTGGACGTGATGTTTAATATCATTCAACTACTTGTCCATTTTCCCCATTGTGAAATAGGCTCTTGCTTTTCAATTGAAAGTTTATGCCCACATACACACTATTTGGGTAAAAAGGTAGATGGCTTTTCTGCGGGTTAATGGATGCAGCTAAGAGCAGTGTAATTATATATATATATATTCATACTGAATTCAGCGTCTCTGATATTCTCTTAACATTATTTATTTAGACTGAAATGAGTTACTGGCTTCTTTTAATTTGACTTGATTCTAAGGTCATTATCATGTTTATGTGGTCATGGCTCTTAGATCCCGCTGCTCCCTGCAATTAAGACTGCTGTGGTTGAAAAAATATGGGTCGGGGTCAGAGAAAGGGCTCGGCTCCTATCCCTCCTCCCTGCTACTATGTTTATTATACGTTATTCAAAATGGGGAGCATATACCATGTCATGTAATTCTTTCTTTTCAGTTGGACCTTTCAGAACCGTAAACAAACAGAATTTGTACCAAATTGGTACTCTGCTGAAAGCTGCCAACCGGTTTTTGCCCCGTGTCGTTTTGGCTGGTGATTTCAACGTCGGGAAAGCCGTTCATGACGACAGTGTATCAAGCATGCTACTAAATTCCTACAAGCTTCTCACCCAGAACTTCGAGACTCGTTACGTGAACTGCACGTATTGTGGCACAAACCAGCTTGCTAACTCACCGAATTACAGTTTTGCTATTGACCACGTGTTTGTACCAATTTCAGATAATCCCAACACAACATTCTTTACGATCGAGGTTGGTATAAATCTCTTGCATCAGCAGAAACAAAATGAACCTATTTGAAGTAGTTATAAGATTTTTTCCGATTTTTATATTGGTATTGAAAATATTAATATAGTTTTTATCTGCCATAACGTTGGGACCATCCTTAAACTGCCTCGTTTTCCTTAACACCCACCCTCTTGGGATATACATGTATATATAGGCACCTTGTATTTCAGAAGGGAAACCGCACTGGGGATTCTCTCATTTTCTAGCACACTTACGTTCTGGGGCACCCGTGTCTTAACGTCCATAGTTAAAGCTACTAGGACAGAAACAATCATTGACTGCATTTTTATACCATTTTCCTCATCAAATTAAATGAAACAATATATATATCCGCCTAATAGTTGTCACTCAATTTTCCTTATTAAATGAAACTAACATTTGTTTGTACATGAATGTTAAGGTATGTATGTATTATTTTCAGTCTGCGTCGATAGAATTGGACGCCAAAGTGCCTGACCAAGATTACTGCATGTCCGACCACTTTGCATACCTAATGACTGTTGAGGTTCGTTACACAGGCTAATAAAGCATACCCGCCGAAGATGTATGTGCTACAAGGCCGGGCGACATGGTTCTTCACACAAAATTTCAGGCACCACCTAGAGTGTGTAAGCCTATAAGCCTGTGATGCAATAAGAACCTTTCCTGCGGGGTATACCATATTATTCAGAATTATTTTGCGATATGTTGATTTCCTCCTGTAACATTATTTATTTACGCGGCATAATTTAAATCTAATATACGTGGTGTAAGTTGCATCTTAATATTCGCTGTATTTTCGATTATTTTGGTTTGGATAGGAATGTATCAACTCTAGTCTAGACAGATCATTTTATGGGTGAACCTAGACAACATTGCAGCATTTATTTCGCCAGGCATTTCCCGGTGCCCCAAAGCGTCATACCAAACTCTCAAGGAAGTCCTGCATGGGAAACACGAAAAACGACGGCCAACAAGCGTACAAATGTACATATGATATTGCCTCATTCCATTACTTCAGCACAATTATGCATTATAATTTTGTCTGTATGTATCCCTTTATTGTTTAAAATCATACTGATGTCGTTTTGTCAATATCAACTGACCACCAATAGTCAGAGAAATTACAATTTGCAGCTAGTTGGCTGAAATATTGAATTATTTCACCTTTCAGGCATACTGTTGAGGTCATTACAAATCCAAGATGTTTTTCCTGTTGTAGATACCAAATTTATATGCGACTTTTAAACTTATACAAGTAGATGGTTTCACAAAATGGCCGCCATGCCTGGTAGATAAATAGAACAGCTACCGTACGGTATATGGACATTTTTCGAAAACATTTATTATTATTATTATTATTATTATTATTATTATTATTATTATTATTATTATTATTATTATTACAATATTTTTCTTTTTTTGAAGATTATGAATTATCTGAATTAATCCTAAAATTGTTATTCAAAGCCAGAGAAAATTTACACCAAATTTGCTCTTAATATTGAGATAAAGTATACTCCATTCTTTGATTGAACGACACACACACGGTTGTTTCGATATAAAGGCATTTAATGAAGTAAGTTATGTATTCTACGTAAAAAAAATCACAAAACAACCAGCACTTTCATGGTAATTGGCGGCAATTTTGGAATTTTCATGTTTCCTATACAGGGATTCAACTGGGCTGGGCTTTATTATGTTGATTGGGAGGCTTCAGGGTGATGCAAGGTGAAAAGATATATTCTGTTACAATTTTGTACAGGTCAAACAGTATTTTGGCTGAACTAATCATTGTGGTGGTAATTATTGGTTTATAAATACGATGATTAGAAAAACATTTTATTTGGTGTATTTCAACAACAAGAAAAGTAATTATGTACATCAGAATAGCTGGCGCATTTTATGCATTAATTATTCGCATGAATAAATCAATATTCTCAGCTTGAAGATTGGTGTTGTGTACTTTTATATTCTAAAGGAAACAAAACAACTTCAGTTGCTATGATGTGGACGAGATGATTCCATCGTTTGTCTTTTTGCAGATACATTCCGCTGATGCAATTGGTCGCAGGGAGGATTTATAAATTACTGCAATTTTCTGGCCCAGACATTACCCAAATGATATTATTCAACACTATTCAATGTAATCTACTAAATTCATTTCTTTTATAAAAGTGACCTTACAAATGTCGAGGATCACACTTGTATTTAACAAAATGTCCTTTTTTAACGCTTTCGAGTGAGTAAACGAGGAGATAAATATTGGTGTTTGACCTTGTCCGAAACCTCGCAGACGTTAAATCTTTCAGGTAACAGTAAAATCCGTAAATATTTTTATTAGTATGAGAAATATAATACTTTTTATAGAAACAAAGTCGTCTTAATTCTGTTCTCAGGTGTGCTTTTTGACAATCTTTAAAGCAGAAATTGGGGGCTTTAAAGAAGTGATCCGGGCGCGTTTCCACATTTTTATGAATGACAGGTGTGGTAGATTAATTTTAGTCACATTTCGGAAAAATCGGAGACGGGTCGATCCTGGGTGGTTTTGATTGATTTTCATAGGGGCCGGATATGGCAGTTTTCTTCAAATTTGACCAAATAGGGAAGAAAAAAAATTGTTCTTCATTATAGTGAGCAGGAGGTTTGTTTGGTCATTTGTAGTGAGAGTAAAGTACTGGAAGACTGGCTGTGTCATTATTAAGGAAGAAATTTAGCAAAAACTCTTCCTACCCCCCCCCCCAAATCCTGTTCTCAGGTGTGCCTTTGAGCCATCTTAAAAGCTGAAGTTGTTGGCTCTAATGAAGTGACCCGGGTGCGTTTCCACATTTTTTATGAATGACAGGTGTGGTAGATTGATTTTCGACACCTTTTGGAAAAATCGGAGACGGGTCGATCCTGGGTGATTTTAAGTGATTTTCATAAGGGCCGGATATGGCAGTTTTCTTCAATTTTGGCCAAATAGGGAAGAAAATTTTTTCTTCATTATAGTGATCAGGAGGTTTGTTTGGTCATTTGTAGTGAGAGTTAAGTACTGGAAGACTGGTTGTGTAATTTTTAAGGAAGAAATTTAGCAAAAACTCTCCCCACCCACCCCCCTCTCCAAATCCTGTTCTCAGGTGTGCTTTTGAGTCATCTTTAAAGCTGAAATTGGGGGCTTTAATGAAGCGATCCGTGCGCGTTTCCGCATTTTTTATGAATGACAGGTGTGGTAGATTGGTTTTCGAGACATTTTGGAAAAATCGGAGACGGGTCGATCCTGGGTGATTTTGAGTTATTTTCATACGGGCCGGATACGGCAGTTTTCTTCAATTTTGCCCAAATAGGGAAGAAAATTTGTTTTCTTCATTATAGTGATAAGGAGGTGTGTTTGGTTATTTTAGTGAGTGCAAAGTACTGGAAGAGTTGTTGTGTCATTATTAAAGAAGAAATAGAGCAAAAACTCTCTCCACCCCCCTTCTCTCCAAATCCTGTTCCCAGGTGTGATTTTTGGTCATCTTTAAAGCTGGAATTGGGGGCTTTAATGAAGTGATCCGGGCGCGTTTCCGCATATTTTATGAATGACAGGTGTAGTAGATTGTTTTATATCACGTTTTGCAGAAATCGGAGACGGATCTATTCTGGGTGATTTTGGGTATTTTTGATAAGGGCCGTTCATGGTTTAATCGATATTAAAACAAGTTCATTTTTTTCGGGAGGGGGGATACCTATTAATCGATAAAATATCAACAATCACATAATATCCCTGGTGTTGAGTTTTGTGGCAGTAATGTATTAAAAAATATGAAATATGAAAGTATGCATGGCAGAAAGGGCATGTATAATATTTGTGGAATAAGCGGTGTATTTAACAACAAGTGGTGTCAAATCTACGTGTACATGTACATCAGGGGTGGATCCAGGATTTCTTAAAGGGGGAGGGGTCCGATTTTGTTACGTGTTAACCCCTTTGGCGTTAGGTTAGGGGCATGCTCTAGGGCCCAGTAAAAATTTGGTGTTTTAGAGGGCAAATTGCACTATTATTCAGCTAGACATTTTGGTACGGTTTTTGTAAATCAGAAATCGAAGGGGAGGGTCCAGACCCCCCTGACACCCCCCTAAATCCGCCACTGTACATGCATTTGACCGTGAACATTCGTGAACAGTTTCAACCACTGTGGCGGATTTAGGGGGTGTCAGGGGGAGTCTGGACCCTCCCGTTCGATTTCTGATTTACAAAAATCGTACCAAAAACGTCTAGCTGAATCATAGGTCTAAAACACCAACTTTTTTCGGGACCCTACTAGAGCGTGCCACTGTATATGCATTTGACCATGAACATTCGTCTACAGTTTCAACCACAGTCCCTCACCTAAAATGAGCCATACCTGTCTCTAATTTGCATAACAATAAGTTGCTCACCGTAGTGCGAGCTGTCTTCCGAATTCTCACAGACAGTAGGATACAGCAGGGTGAAGACGCAATGTTCAGCATGTGTGGTGCAGACGCAAGGGCGAGCTTTTATGAGGTGGAGAAGCAATTGCATGCTTCGTAAGTATTACTTTTTCTTCAGTGATCTATGACATTAGATGGAAAAAGCGTAGAAGAATGCAATAAAAATTTACGACAAGTATTTATGTTACAACTCTTTGTTATACTTTGCCTGCCGTTTCTGTTACTCAGTATGTATATGCCTATATTAGCTAGCAAATGAGTACATGTAGATGGGCATATATATATTACTTTAAAGATCACGGACTATTTTAGGTGATAATAGTAATACCATTCTTGTCACAGTTCTGAATTTTTGACCCATCAACGTGTACACAAACTTAATGGTCAAAGTTTATCAAAAATTAAACGTCTCCTTTTACGACAATCAGGATAGTTTAAAAAGAAATAAAATACCCCTTTGATTTAAATTATCTTATGGTTACTTTTGTCTCTTTGAAGTTTCATTTCATTTCTTTAATTCAGTTTTTGTAGGTTTGTTTATTTTATTATAAACGTACCCGTAAAAATGTTTGTAAGCTATGTTGAAAAACGGGAAATTTGATAAAGAGGAATATGTCCCCCAAACGTGTGATGCATAGCGATTTTAGATATTACAACATTAAAATAAATCACTGTCCCTAGTTACCTCCACAAGTTAAAGAAATGTGGTCGGTGTTTATTTTTTTTCAAAGCATGATATCTCAAATACCTTTATCATTAACTTGAGGTCTTAATTTTGACGTAACGTAACCTTGATGTCGTTTCCTTTTTTTATGTACAGACACAGATGTGTCTGTAAATATTGCCGTCACCTGCGTCTGTCGTCGTCACTTCCACCGATAACACGATAAGTGGAAAACCATTTTACTGTTTGGCTTGAAATTTGAAAGATCTGATGAATATTTATAATCCATAGGTCAAGTTCGAAAATCAGCATGATTGGGGTATTTTTTCAAAAGTTATGCTGTATTTTTTTTTTTTTTTTTTTGCTTTCTTCAGCATATATGCAATACTGATGACACAATTCAAGGAAGCTGAAAATCCTATTGTTTTGCAACTCACAGGAGTGATCAATCTTACTAAAATACAGGTTGGGTTTGAAAATCAGCTTGATTGATTCAGTTTTAGTGAAGTTATGACATTTTTTGTATATGGGTGTTTTTTCCTCAGATTTAATTCTAAGGCATGTTAACAGTCTCATTATTGAACTAAAAGATACGTAAAAGTGTTCTTTTGACATTTTCTGCATCTTAACAACATTGTTAGTTGATTATATAAAAATGTCAAAAAAAATGGAAATAAACTCAGTTTGGCAGATTCAATCATTCACTATGTTCAGAATCTCAGAATAGAGCAAATTGGACATTTAAAATTGTTCTATTGAAATTTTTCCTATGCCAAC